AAAGAGATGGACAGCGCCGAGTGACCGAGACCATGCACGACGCAGTAAAGAGATGGACAGCGCCGAGTGACCGAGACCATGCACGACGCAGTATAGAGATGGACAGCCCCGAGTGACCGAGACCATGCACGACGCAGTATAGAGATGGACAGCGCCGAGCGACCGATACCATGCACGACGCAGTATAGAGATGGACAGCGCCGAGTGACCCAGACCATGCACGACGCAGTATAGAGATGGGTAGCACTGGCTGACCGGGGCCATGCACGACGCAGTATAGAGATCGGCAAGTGGAAAGGCCCATGCTCTGCAAGAGGTCAAGCTTTTGGGAAGCACTGGCAAACCTAAACATCAAGCAAGCATCGGCGCATTTTCTAAGAATTCTCGATGTTTCGAGCCAGTGCTGACGGTCGCGAGAATCGACGCTTGTATGACAAAAACATGTGTAGCAACGTCTGCCTGAAGGTGTCGATCATTTACAACACAAGAACTTAGAATCCTGAAAAACAGGAGCTGAATGCCCTTCTTACTAATGGCCACACGCTTTGGTGTTGACCCTAGTCATCTCTCCGCAATTGACAGATTAACAAGCGGTCAGCTTGTAATTGTCTACACTCGCTACTCTGGATAGTTTAAATGACATGGAGCCGACCGCCCCGGTCTTGGTTTCGGCTTAGAAACAGATCATTTCGCAGCACATTGAATACGCAGGTTGGCGCCTTTCAACGTACGCTATGGGTGACACTGGATAGCCTGATTCCTGTCCCATTAAATGTTTTGATCATGGACCAATGATGCTGCGGGTCTCGGAGAAAAGGCAGGCGTGACGGCGCCGGTGAGGCTCGCAGGGCGTGGCGCTGGCCAAAGCTGGCCCCACACGGCGTTTTTCCAGCGCCTCACCACGCCCAGCTCGGCGGGCCGGTGCGAGCCAACGTGCTATACGTCTCCATTCTTCTGTTTTTCCCCGAGGAATAAAGCTATCACTACTGTCCTATCTATATGAATAATGTTCCTCGCAAATGCACTGAACACCTTACGTGTCATGTAGCGTTTCCTCCCGCCGTGCGGTTTTAAAATGCATGTGGTTTGGGCAGGCGGCTACCGCCAACTGAACACCTTACGTGTCATGTAGCGTTTCCTCCCGCCGTGTGGTTTTTAAATGTATGTGGTTTGGGCAGGCGGCTACCACCAATGGCTATCGAGTTTTGGCGGCCAGATGGTGTTTTCTTCTTCATTCTTTGAGATTGAGGCCCTCGAAGTCTGCGGATAAAACAGGAGTGCGGTTTTCTACAGATCCATCATGCTTTGATGAACCTGTCAGCGCACATAAGGAAGTGTGTTTATGTCGGGCAGTTTTCGGGCAGCGGGGTTGAAAGGGAATTTTACTGTGCAGTTTTCTACGGGCGCCGGACATGTTTGTCCTATATTAAGGCCGTCTTAGAATGAGAATAACCTCCGGAATATATCAGACTTTGTTAAGCGTGCATTCAAATGCATAGACACTGTTTTACCAATAAACATAAAGCCGTATATTTTCTGGCAAAGTCATGGAAATGACTTAAAACTTTGCTTCGTCAAAACATGCCTAGACCACGACCCTTCGTGACTGCGCCAAGTCGGACCTAAAAAGCTCACACCTCCATCTGGGTATCCCCGTGCTTTTGCGTCATTCTTCAGGCTTGTTTACTGCGTTTTTTACAGCACAAAAGCGTAACTATATGTGACGCGCCATGGGCGTCATGCAACCTTGATGATAGGTTTCCTACGGATGCCTCAGAAGGCTCCAGTCACTGCGACTGGTTTGCGTCTATCACTGACGGTGCATTAACCGCCACAAGCACGGCCTTTCTCGGGCACCACAGGGATCTCGCAATGAGAGGGCTTCATGTTTTGGGAAACCGTCGGTACCCATATGGAATGAGCCAGGGGCTGGGTTTGGTTTTTGAAACCTGTGCAGGTTTTGGGAAAGCTTGCAAGTATGGATACGGACATGGGTGACGGTGTTTATGAAATGTGGAGTAGATGCTTTAAAGACTACTACTCATTCTTACTTTTCGCATTATCTTTTAGTCAAAATTCACACTGCTTTTGTAGAAGGCAACGCAAAATAATAAGTTTGTGGTAAACTTTGATGAAACTCGCTCATAATTCAGTGCCAGCGCGCTGCCAAATGCCGGCGCGTGGGTGGTGCGTGGGAATAATTGATCAAAAGTGAGTGGCGGGTTGGTGTGGGGCACAGGTTGATGGGTAGTGCGTGGATTGGGTAGCAGAACGCATGCCTGCGAAGGCATCCACTCGTCACCGTCACGGCCTCCAGAGCAGTGGAACAGGCGTAGCGTCCGTGTCGCTCATTTGGAGCGGGCGCAGAAACGCCGGCTTTGCGTTGCCGCTTGCCTTCCTCTCTGGGCAGACAGTGATGTGTTGGTCTGCACTTTGAGGGTGAAGCCTATTTATCCATTGTTGCGTCGTGATGAGAAACAAGTATCTCATTGTCAGTTTCCTTAATAATCTGCGCAATGTCATGAAAGTCGTTAATGACGTTACAACACATTCGCACAGATGATACATCGTTCATAGTTGTGGCTGACAAAGCTGAATCGACCAAGCACACAGTCCACTCTCAAGTTATTGGGCATGTTATTGTCTGTGACGGGCTCAAACCGGCCTGGCCTGACCCCACCCCCCCCCCCCTCCCCTCCCCTCCCTCCGCAGGACAAGACGCCGGCGTTCTACGCGAGACTCTGCGACTCTTTGGAGATCCTCCGCAAGTTCTTCCACGCCGATGGTCAGGGTGTACCTCTTGACGCGCTCAAGTGTGACCTCTTCGACGCTACCAGCCGCAGCCTTAAGGTCAGAGGGGCGCTGAAGTCCCTCGCCGGCTGAGGTCCGAGTCCGTCTGATCCTGGGGTCTGAGTCTGTCCAAGTCTGGGATTGGGTCGAGGTCCGAGTCCGTCTGATCCTGGGGTCTGAGTCTGTCCAAGTCTGGGATCTGGGGTCTGAGGTCCGAGTTCGTCTGAACCTGGGGTCTGAGTCTGTCCAAGTCTGGGATCTGGGGTCTGAGGTCCGAGTTCGTCTGATCCTGGGGTCTGAGTCTGTCCAAGTCTGGGATCTGGGGTCTGAGGTCCGAGTCCGTCTGAAACCTGGGGTCTGAGTCCTGTCCAAGTCTGGGGATCTGGGTCCTGAGGTCCGAGTCCGTCTGAACCTGGGGTCTGAGTCTGTCCAAGTCTGGGGTCTGAGGTCCGGGATCTGAGGTTTGATGTCTGATTCTGTCAGTGTCTGAATCTGTGTGAGGTGCCGGCTGAGGATTTGAGCGCGACTTGATTAATTTGGAGGTGCAGTTTTTGGGACAAGTGAGTGTTAGAGGTGCAGTTTTCAGAAAAAGACGATTTTGAATGTGTATTTTTCAGCACTAATTGGACTTTGGACGTGCAGATTGGATATGCAGTCAAATTGGTGACACGATGTGGTTTATGCAGTCAATTGCTTACAAATATCCTTGTAGTGCAAGGCTGCCAAGCACCAGGGACGGCTGGTTCTGTTGAGTGTCGACGTTCCCTCAGCGTTGAGGCACACGTATGAAGGTGGTTATCCGTATTTGTCGGCTTAGGTGGATGTGGATGTGGGCGTGCGTGCGTGCGCGCGCGCTTGCGTGCGTGGATGTGACGGTGCACAAGTGAGCCGTGGTGTGAACTCTAGAGAATTTATTTTTGTTGGGTGATTGGGCTCATTGTTAACTTCAAAGAAAATGACCCAGGCGGCTTGTTCTTGACCCTGTGTGGATCCGAGTTGACTCTAATCCAGATTTTCATTGAATTCAAGTAAAATCGACGCTCTTGAGCGTCCATAAGTCAAGTTCAGTCAGTTGCATCTGCTGGTTAGTGGTCCGGATGTCAACTTAAGTGGACAGGGAAGCACAATCCTGCTCTCATCTTGATAGTCATACATGCAGCAACTTGTTAGGCAGCCTTCTGTTCTATTTGTATCGTGTTTGTCTTTTATTATTTGTTCAAAATGTGTTTCCAATGCAGTTTTTGGAGCAAATTTTTTCCTTAGCTGTTGCGATCAAAGCCGACTTTTTTAGAGTCAGTTTCGGAAATGGACGCTATGTCTTTGAGGTCGATTTATGGTTTGCCCCGAAATTCTCAACGCAGGTTCGAATCAATAGCCGGCACGAACCCATTAAACGTGCTGTGAGCGGAGAGACGGCGTCACTGACCCTGGAGCAAAACAGAGCACGAGTCCGGGCGCGGGCGGCGTTCGCCGAGGTGCTTTAATTAGCACGAGATACAAAGTTCATTCCGTCTTTATCTAGGCCAAGCTCTGGGGAGCAGGGCGGCAGAATAATCCGCGGACACCCAACCACGTGTCATGAACGCGTGTCGCACGTGTTGTGCCTCGTGACGGGAACCACGAGTCCGCCACACGTGGAAAGCTATGCGAAGCTGCAGCAGCGCGTCTGTTCTCTCCCGCAGCTGAACAGCCTTTCCACGGAGCAGCTGATGGACATGTTCCACAAGGAGCGACTGGAGGCGCAGGAGGCGCAGGAGGCGCAAGAGTTCGGCACACTCTCCGTCCGCGTCTACTTCCACCACGACTCGCTCTCCGTTGAGATCCTCAACGCCAAGAATGTGATCCCGCTGGACCCGAACGGTGAGCTGAGTTGAGCCGGGCGGAGTTGCGTCTCCCTCGGCAGATCTCTGCCCTGGGTGGCCCGGTCTCTGAGCTGAGTCTGGTGGAGCTGCGTCTCCCTCGGCTGATCGCTGCTCTGGGCGGCCCGGTCTCTGAGCTAAGTCTGGTGGAGCCGCGTCTCCCTCGACAGATCTCTGCATCTAGGGGACTGGTCTCTGTCGACGTCAGCTGACAGCTTGGGCATCCTAGACCGTATGTATCCGTGCTTTGCAGGGCTGATCGATACGTCCAGCACGGCTTGGACTCCAGCTGCTTCAGGGGGTAGTGTGTCGGTCTTGGCCCAGCGGCGAAAAGCGCCGCACCAGCACTGCTTCACCTGTGAGCAGGGCCAACATCGGCGTTGACCTACTGTTGCAGGCCTGAGTGATCCTTTCGTCATTATCGAGCTTCTGCCCCGGCAGCTGTTCGCCTCGTGCGTCGAGCAGCAGACAGTGGTGCACAAGCGCACACTCAACCCCGTCTTCGACGAGTGCTTTGAATAGTGAGAACAGGGGGAAATCTGGCCTGCCAGAGCGTGGGTGGGTTTGTCAGAGGTTTTGCAGCAGGTGAAGGCTGAGTGGGTATTTCAGATTACCTGGATGGCCGGATAGAAGGTTGACATTAAAAGAATGTTAAGGTGGAGCACGCGCTATGTTTCCACCTCCTGAATGTGAGGTTCACGTGTTTCTGGTGCGTAAATAAAAGCAAAATGAAGACTGGCGGATGTACCAATAGTTTTCAACGAGACGGAGACATCACCATTAATGCGTCGCGTGACCACATGACTAGCACGGAGGCAACTCCTCAGCTGTCGTCTCGTTGCGCGTTTCGACGGTAACGCCACCTACACCGCCCGACCTGACATCTGTCGGTGGTGTGCCGCAGCTCGGTGACTCTGGAGCAGTGTCGCGCCGACGGCGCTATGATCCTCTTCACGGTCATGGACCACGACGTGCTGACCTTCAACGACTTCGCTGGCGAGGCGTATCTCTCGCTGAACCACGTAAGTAGCTACCCTCCGGTTGGGATCCTTGTGAAGCACTACGCCCCGCGCGGGAGCATTTCCACGCGGCGCGCACGCGCGGAGTGGTCAGCGCCGATAGCGGTCAGATGGTGCTTGTCTGGCTTCGGAACCTCGCTTCTTCTGCGGTGTGGGTTTTCACGCGTGGGTTTTCCGCTGCCGCGTTTGTGCTGCAGTTGGCCAGACGTGCGCAGACTGTGTCGTCACCAACGTGCGTAGATCGTCGCAGTGAAGCGTGTTTGGATTGTAGCCTGTAGCAATTGCAGGTGAATTGCAGCCAGCTGAATGGTCCGCAAATCGGGCTCTCATGCCCCCTATTACGACCCGAAACATAGCTGTCAGATTCAGCAGCTCTTCGATTTGCTTCACGAAACGATCTCCTGCCGATGACCGTGAACCGTGACTGTGATGACCGTGACCGTGATAACCGTGACCGAGACCGTGATGGCCGTGACTGTGACCGAGATTACCGTGACCATTGGCGCTCTCCGCGACAATCTCACTATTGGTAAGTAGCTTCAGGGCGCTGTCTCCACTCCGTGTTTTACCCCCTTAGGTAAATAACACCCCACCCGGGTACATACGTCACGAACTAAACGGTAGCGTTTCCCGTAGCAAAAAGCATATTGCGTGTCAGTGACGTCACCGAGCCCGAGTGTGCCGTAGAAAAAGAAGCATGTTGCGTGTCAGTGACGTCACCGAGCTCGAGTGTGCCGGTGACGCGCCGATGCCGGTGCCTGCTGTTGTGCTGCGGCGGCGACCCGCTGACGCTGGGACTGGCTGCCGCCAGATCCCCGGTGTCGATCGGGGCAGTGCCAACTCGGACAACTTCCACGGCCTGAAGGAGATCGAGCTGAATCTGATGCATCAGCGCGACAGAGGTGGGTCGCCCAGGCCGGACGGTGCGGCGCTTCTGCCATCTACCGGCAGATGCCGGTGTCATTAGCGTGTGCAGCGGCCGCACGGTAGTGCTGCAGACCTGCCGGCTCCGACATGCTGTGTGCAGCTCTTGCCGTGCTGGAGGTACTTGTGGCCATGTGTTATGGGTGAAAAACTAATTTATACGACGCTGTTGTTTGAAACCAAATCGGGCCAAGGTCATAAAACTAAAGCTTTTTGATATTATGGTGTCTGAGGAATCAAGGGATGTCGATGAGTAGCTTAAGAGCGCATCGGCTCCAAATGGTTATGCAGCTAGGGATGATAAGGAGAAAGCATAAGAACCTGCGGCGAAGGGAGGCGGGTGGCGGTTACCCCCCCCCCCCCCCTCTCCCTGATGGCAATTGACAGCTGTCCCAGCACTGACTGGGTGCCGAGTTCTCGTGACCCGTGCTGGCTGGGCTGGGGTTTGTTTGATACGCCACCGACGTGCGATACTGCGCCAGCGTGGAAGTCGCGGCTTCATGTGGACAGGTCTCGAGCTTCCGAGCACTGGGAGGCGCCTTAGCCCTGAGTAGGCACTAACTTGCATAAAAAATGTTTTTCTAGAATATTTGAACTGCATTTGCAGCTAGTTCAGTACCGTGTGAGGTTGCCCACGGGTCCGGTCCGTTCTCCTCGGCCGCTCCGCTGACGCCGTCGCGACCGCCCGGCAGAACATCCGATCCTCAAGACCCTGGAGAGCAGACACTGGGACAAGGCGGCGCAGGACTTTTTGAAGAAGTGCCGCGAGCGAGTCACCAGCTTCTGAACAGGCCTCTGAGGGCGGTAAATCGCACGGCCCCGCCTCCCTGGCCGGACCTGTGACTGTGACGTCACTTGCCGCGCGGTGACGGGCTGCAGCTCCGCGTCCGACCGCCTGCCTCCGCCCCGCGCCCTGTCGGGCGAGCCGAGTGTGATTGGCCCGCGGCCAGGTCACGTGTTGTGTCGCCAAGTGACGCTGGGGCCCCGTGGTATCAGCTCGCGTGCTCTGGCGCGGAATGCTGCTATTTTGTGTGATGCCATTAGAGTGCGGCCGCGTCCAGCTACCGTGGCGTTCATGTTACGTATTCAATCACACTCCCATTGTTTAGCGCGAGGGCTACGTAAGCGCCAGATATCTAGTGATCGTTCTTACAGCTGGGTATTTTTGTTGTTTCTTGCCAGTCACGCGGGTCATGACACTGGTGCTTTTTATAATTAGTTGTGTTCTCGGGTGCCAGACGTGGTTCGCTACAAATCAAAACCCAGATGGATAAGGAGTGGATGGGATGTAGGAGCGATTATTCCTCGGCGCACATTTCCATCGAAGGTAATGTTTCGTTTCAGCTCCGTGCAAACGAAGAACACATTAATTTGCCTTGTAACCGACTAACTTTGCCTACTTATATCCTGCCCGCCTCACGTGTTATCTTAGATGTGTCTTAACCGTTCAAAGACACGCGTGTTTCCTATACCTCTTGCGCCATGTATTGTGCGTGTTGAGAAGTCGAAACATTCCACACCGCCTACCGCTTTCTTTGGTGACTGGAACCAGATGTATATTGCTCCAGTGTTGCCGACGTCGATAAGGCCGCCCTCCCCTTGATTGGCGGCTGGACGTTAACGTCCCCGTCACTTCGACCCGGAATGTTTCCCGTATGGTTATCGTTCCGGGTTTACGGCAACCGAACTGGGCCGTACCGCGCACCTGACCAATCACATCGCTGGTGCGAACGGGCCGACCAATCGCGGTGCGGCTCGCCGCCCGGCCGATTGGTTCCGTCAGCCGGCCTCAGTAGTCGCTCGAGGACCGTTCTAGCGCCTCGGCGCCGTGCCGGTGGTCTGCCGTTCAGCCCATGACCCAATCTAGTCCGTGATGCTAGTCGACCGTGGGCGACCTTTGTCCTGTCCGCCAGGGGTGTGCCCTGTCGTGCGCGGGTCTCCCCGGGTCTTGTCCACCTGCCTGCCGCCTTCACATTTACCCGCCAGTGTACCGGCCGTGTTTTGTGCCACTCTTGCCGGCGGCTACCCTTCCGACGCAGTCGGGTGGGGCTCGCCGGTAACCGAGAGGCGGGGTTTTGTACCTGGCCCGCGCGCCGCCGCACGAGCCGACCTCAGCGCTGCGCTCGTGACCCCACTCCACCGGGGAGTCACGCGGTCAAGCATCGCCGGGCAATCTGGCACGTGTTCGTCCTTTGACTCCCTGACAGCGTTTCCGCCGGTCGGCGTCTGACCTCGTGACCGCGCCGCCGCAGCAGATCGTGACGGGTCGTAGGTTACCTGGCGCGTGCTCTCGGGCGTTTGATGTCGTCGCCTCAGCGCAGGTTCTGTCTGAAATGCAAACCTTTCTTGCTGCACTGTTGCCGTGAAATACACTACCTTATCAAGTGGAAGTGTTTCTGCACGGTGGCAGGCCGTTAGTAAGGTAAGGAGAGTGGTGGCTGGAAAACGCGTGGAAGCTATCACATTATGGAAGGGAGGGAGGAACTCGAGCTACTCCATCATAGGGGCGGATTTAGGATTTCGTCAAGGGATGGGCTGTGCCTCACTGTGCTGCCACGTGGATCTTGGTCCTGCCCCCCCCCCCCCCTCCCGAGCAAAGACGTACCGGGACTTCGGCCCTTTTATTCTTAGATTTGTAATTTTGTGATCGGTAAAATATCTTCCGTTGGAATTAGTCAACTTTATTCCTAGAGGCCAAGTTTACTTGATTTTAATGCTGGACCGTTTGAGCCGTTTGTGGTGCCCTTGAACTTTGGAGCGTCATACAAAAAAATAAACACGTTGGGGCTGTGGTGGATCCAGAAGGGCCATGTAGCCACGCCCCCCCCCCCCCCCCCGTCTGAATCCGCTACGGCCCCAGCATCTAAGAAAATTTAGCACACCGCAGTGCATGGAAAGAAACGACTCAAGGTGGTTGTGAGCCCTCCACCTTATTTCGGACATAGTCCCTCATCCTAGCAGCCAGACCTCACCGTCACGCGGGGTTCAACGCTGAGAGGTCACAAACTGCTGGCGGACAGCAGCGCGCGCTTAGCTTTCGCACTGCTGCAGCTGCGGGCTGCGGTGATGCGCCCAGCCGCACGCGAGGCTGATCGCTGAATGCCTTTTATGGTGTTACCCAGTGAGTTGCTAGCTGCTGAAACACATTAATTGTTCAAACGCCGACCAGACCACCCCAGACCACCCCAGTAAAGGTTGGGAAAAGTCAGACTACCGTTGCGGAGGCTGAGAAAGGTCGTATTATCCCAGCAAAGACTGAGAAAGGTCAGACTACCCCCGCAATGGCTGACAACCGGAGGAGTTTAGATGTCTGCACCGATGAGGGGGCCAATTAAATGGGGGCAACTGTTCTCTGCACAGAAAAAGTCATGTGACGGCAATCTTGTGGCGCTTTCCAGCAGTAGTTTAAGCTTGTTGCATTTTCGACAATGCAGCTATTCTGGCACGCTGCATGATTTTACGGAGTTGCATCCTTTACAGAGGTCATATTACAATTGTTGTAAACCACTTTTTCAATAGTTTTCCACTGCCAGCAATGATCCCAAACCATCTTTTACCGCGTTAAATGAGGAGGCCAACGTCCCTCCGCAGTTCATTCATTCTACGTTCATTCTACATTCTCAGTCGTGGAAGTTCTTAGTTCTCCACGTGGCATTCTACGCTCTCAGCCGTTGACGTGGAGGCGATGCTGAGGCTGATGGACTTGGGAAGCATCCCACTTTTCTGCACTTTTCACGCACAGCTAGATAATACAGATCCGATTTTATCGGCAATACCCGTCCTCTCGAACTTCTTTTGAGCAGCTCGGAAGTTTGATTGGAAGCATTATAGGGGATTCGACGGAAGAAATCTGATTGGACTTCCTCTTCACCACCATGAAAGTAGTATTTCTTCTGTTGGCTATTTTCCTGCATGTTTGAAGAGAAAGGCAGGTGTGACACTCTCCGCACACCAATTCACCAAAAATAATCGTGATATCATTGGTACTACAGCTTCAAACTCTCCATCTAGGGAAAAAGATATACGGATAGCATATAGATTCTCTGGTCCGGTGAATTTAGCTCTTCCAGGTGGTCAGTTACAAGGATTATGTGCAATAAATCAGCCGTTAAGATAAGGGCATCGCGCCTATGACGCCCTTCATAGTGATTTCCTCCCAGTAGAGCACCATTCCTTTCCTCACCGCGCGCTTTGCAGTCCGGTGAGGACATGCGGGGTGTGGGTATAAACGTGCAAAGACTACGCATGTCTGACATACGTTTATTTCCGCACAACCATAGTCATGTAATATTAGCGAAATGTTTGGTATCAGACACAATCTGGCACTAAACATATGGCACACGCGGACACCCGCGTTGTGCTATCCGATCATAAGACACAAATTTACGGGCTGCGGTGCCGGTCCCGGGCACAACAGGGGTAGGCGTGGTAGTGTTGGAAATGATCCATTCAGCTTAAGGGTTGGTTTAGCATCAACAAAACTGCTGTTTTGCCCTGGTGATCACCGCTCTCACGGCAGCGATCACGGCGGCGAGCGTGAGTGTGTGTCCTGGTGTCATCGCCGGCAGCAGCTGTTCGTCAGCTTCAGCGCCGGCGTGTTCTGGCACAGCACATTGATCACGTGGTTTGAGTAGTAGGCCTGCAGCGTCTCTCCGACGTGCGTGATGTCATTGCATTCTCTCCGAAACGCCAAGAAGACATGGGCCACCTTTTTCAGCTCCAGGCACACGTTCTGCTGGAAGTTGGCTGATTCTGGAAGCATCGACGACCACACTACGAGTGCCGGCACCTGTGTGGAGAGTGGAGAGAGCCGGCCATTTTGATTACGAACGCAGTGGCCTGTTCAAATGGTCAGCAAATCCCGAAGTGGTGTACGTGATGAACGCGAACACATCACGGTCCTGAAAGCATGTCCGGCGTCACCGGCTATGTGTCTGAACGTCTTCACATTGCAGCTGATATGTTTGCATTAGGATTGAGTCGTTATTAAGAACCTTGTCATTTGTTATTAACAACACGCGCAGAAATTGCTCCCGCAGGGAAGCAATAAGCTTCAAGCTTACGTGGCGTTATGCCGAAGGGGAGTATCACAATCAGAAGGGGAGTATCACAATCAGAAGGAGAGTATCACAATCAGAAGGGGAGTATCACAATCAGTGCGAGCGTTTGTTTTCGGACGCCATTACGCCCTTTGCTACCAGAAGCTAAAGTTAAAGGTTCCACATCTGAGGATGTCGAAGAAAGCATCAGATATAGATAAGACACTACTAATAGCCTTATTCCTCGGAGAAAGCAGGAGAATGCCGATATAGATGCGCTGATAGTTTGGCAATATGTCTATCGAAACGAGGAGTAGAAGTGAGTTCAAAATTGCCTGCCGATGATTCGGCTCACTTTCCAGTTGTTTTTTAACAGCGAGCCACAGTTTTTACGGGACACCAGCATTCAGGGGGCTAAATAAGGACAATATCCAGCCATTACTACGATGCAGTGCATATCTAAGAATAATACGCGAAAATGCGTGTGTATGCAAACCAATTCAACTTAACAGGCACCACGCATAACGCTTCACTCATACATGCAAATGAGTTGAACTTAACAGGCATCACACATCACGCATCACTTACATGCAAGCGATTTCAGTTGAACAGGCATCGCGTATCACGCGCCATGCATCACTTAAATGTGCAAACGATTCCAAGCTAGCACACATCACACATCACACATCACACATCACACATCACACATCACACATCACACATCAAGGCACATATTAGGTTCGCATAACTGGCCATGATGAGCCCTGTATGTTAAGATTTGGTCGCCAACTTTTTATAAAAGTAAATTTATTTATTTTCCTATCTGAGTGATCCTGTGCTCTGTAGATGACTTCGAGCTCTAAAAGGGGCATAAGGTCCAAACTTCCCTCGATTTCAGCCTGGGCGTGTTCTGCCAAAAAATGGTCACCGAAAGACATATTTCCTGATTTGTTTTGTTTTTAGCGTTTCGCAGGTACTCATTATATCTAAAACGAATAGGGTGCATAGATTTTTCGACATAGACTATGTCCCTCCCGTGGTTTTCGTACAGTTGCGCGTAAACCCTTTGAAACCCAGACCCGCATAAATGGCATCTATTGCCACCCGGGCACTAAGGCTTCGAGATGCCAGATTTCTTCAAAAACTTTATTAGCTTGTTGTCGTTCTTCCAAGCTACGCGGACACGCAGTTGTGCTTTTCTAACAATGAGTTAGATTTTTCACAGCAAGTGTTCATCTATGTAAGGTGGCGTTAAAAATCCGTCGTCCGATAGGACGTGTTCCCACCTCCTACCACTCATTCCCCACGCGCTCCATATGTTTTTTACTTCTTCCAACATTCTACCTCAAAGTTGCGGAGAATATCATTGTCCAACACTGAAGACCATATTTCGTTTATACGCTTTCTTTCCTTTTTTCACTACTTGATGTGTTGTTTAGTGCGTCATAGAACATGTGACGAATTATGTTGTGCTTAGTGGGAGTTGGATGCGCAGATTCGCAGTGCAGATGTAAACCAGAGTTGGTGGGCTTGATAAAGAGTCCTGTTTCTAATGCTGTACGGTTACTCTTCCCTTCCCATGTCATCACGCATCTATGTATTTATTCTCCTGGTTTGTCTCCGAGGAATAAGGCTATTACTGATGTCTTATCTATGTAAATAATGCTCCGCACAAATGCACTGAACAACTTACAAACATCAGATATGATGAAATAAGCTCTCTTTTGACGTTTGGTATACTTTTAAGCGGAAAAGACTGCTTTAGACCATATAATATCTCTGTTTAATATCTCTGTTTAATTAAATTTGTCTCTCAACACGTTATTGTTTGTGTCATCACACTTAACACAACATTATTGAGAGCCAATTAACGGGCGTTATATCTTGAAATGGTGCTCGCGGAATCCAGATATAAACGAGCCGATGATCATATTTCTGGGGCTTTTATCGCTACATGGCCAATGGAATGAATTGCATGATTTGAGTGACGTTATTGTGGCGTCATGGATAGCTGGGTGACCTTGAAATAGATTGGACAAAATAGTCTGCACATCTTCGCGAGCGTATAGCTCAGAGATTGGAGGGATTCAGGTATTAAGAGAGGCGGAATTGTGAACTGCACGGAATGAGATTCAACATGGCTGCTTCGGTTCAAAAACCCTTACAAGTGTGGAACGCTTCCTTTAAGAGTCGTCTTGGAGTGCTAGTTTCGTACCTCGGTTTATTTGCTGATAGCAGTGAAGACGTCAGGTCCCTATGTACAAAAAATCCATAAAAGCAACGTTCCAAGAAAGCGATATTCGTCGTATTTTCGTTGAAATCTCAATTGCAAGACAGCTAACAAAC